TCATTTCTGTATTTTAACGTTCTGTGCGGTAAACAACTGTTCAAGTACAGATCACGTGATTTCTTTTTTGAGATCTCTTGGAATATCTTCTAGACAAATCAATCACCGTCCACTCAACAGTAAAACAGTATTAGATTGAATCCTGGTTAACTGAAACATTTCCGATTTCGATTGAAGCATCTCAGTTCATCTCCATGACCTATCACAACCTCAGCGCCTCGTCGATGACGCCTTTCAAGCCGCTCCGCATAAGTTGTGTACTGTATTCTAGATATTTTTCAGTTGGAAGACCAGATAACTCCCTTATAGGGATTTCAAATTACTATTTGCCATGATTCCTAAATCATTACAAACTTTAGCCTATGGCAAAGACGTTCTATTTACTACTGTGTCACAGGAGCCATATTCATGCCCGTTCGCTTTGGTACAATCGTGCCAGAAGTCTGATTCTGATGGCCATCGAGTTGTCGTCTCAACCGGGACACTCAAATCTTTCTATTAGCTTATTTTGTTAATAAAACTATGCATAGGTCTACTCAGGTAATACTTGCGTCCCGACATTAATACTGTTTCACGTTGAAACTGACCGTGTGATCTACATTGAACACGTTGAGTGGCTGGAAGGCTTTTTCGTTAGGCGTCATATACCAATATTGTTCGTCTCAACAACATAATTTTCAGACCGTTCTAGTTCAGTTGTATCATCAAGTATTAGAACAGATTATTTTGTAGCTCTTTAAAGGTGAGACGAAAAAGAAACAGGTTAACGATTATCCTGTAGCGGTAAATAAATCCCCAAAATAAATAGCTCTGTAAGTTTTCGACATTGGATGCTGACCATATGTTTTAGTGGACTCATCTAGGTGAAGGCGCTCGGTCAGGCATCCGCACCAGACCACGTGTGGTAACGCCGTGCTCAACATCAACCGCAATCGCTAGCCAGATTAGATCAGAGAATTCCGATATATTGGTCATCGCCAAATATACTCTTCCGATCTCCTCGACTCTGTCTTTTGATTTCTCTGGGTGGGAACGAAATACATTAGAAGGTGTTACTGGTAGAAGCGTTGTCAAACACTGAATACCTGTGACATCATCAATGGTGAGCCCGACATGATCTGGTACACCTTATTGCTACTGTGAGTCTGTTCCTTTTTGAGATTTTTATATATCATTGCCTTATTTTTTTATTTTTTTAAACATTGTGACTTTTTTTCGTGTTTTTTCTTGGATATATATACTTTCCCCTCGTTCATTATCGCACTTCATATTTCATCATTACTGAACAGACACCTAAAGTACTCAAGCTTAAGACTTTGTCCCCACCTTCGTTTCAACTGATGCCTTTCTGGCCCGACAACATAGAAGCCTGGTTCTGCCACGCAGAAGCCGACTTCCACGAGCACGGCGTGATCGACACACGTGCACATTTCCTCGCAGTAGTCAAGGCACTACCGCGCGAATTCAATAGGTACGTAACACCTAGTATGTTTACTAGTGATGTTTCCGAACCTTACGAAATATTAAAACGCTCGATTCTCAAACGAGGAGACCTAACCGATCGACAAAGGTTAGACCAACTCTTCAACAATATCGACCTGCAACACAGTTCTGCGACAGACATTGTCAAACACTGAATACCTGTGACATCATCAATCCGTTTGCGATATCCGCTCATGATAATTATGCATAATGAAAAGTACAACTTCATCAAAAACCACTTGTAGTTCTAATTAAGCAGCATCGAATGTTTATCACCAGTTATATTGACTGAACCAAATAACATTATTATCTAATCATCTCGTGGTTTTAATGCCTCATAGGGGAATCGAACAGCATTTCCATTTATTCTGCAATTATGTCCATCTGGTATTCCATAAATCGCAAGACGATGTGCTTTCATTGAAAAGAGAATTCGTCAATAATACGCCAAAATATAAAGTACGCTGACCTCTCGCCGTCGTTAGCTGAAACATTTCATTTTAATGCTTCGGTACGATTTCAGTTTGTTCAATTGTCGTCAAAACTTGAACTGTAGATTTACTAATAACATTGGTACTGGTTTGCAGAATTATGGTCTACATGGGTATCAGTATACTTATCTATTCTACTAAGATAATTCACCAGGCACCAAAAGAGTGTTTTTAGTATCGTGTAGCTGCCCAATTGTGTGGAAGCCACATTATTGTCTGTACTGACCCATCCTATCATGAAAACTTGTGGTTGCACCTGAAGAACACATCTGGGTTGTGGATGCAACGATATATTTGATATGCGGGGGAATACGTGACAGAATGACCACGCCTTCATGAATGGACTATGAAATACCAAACATGTGTTTCCGCATTTAGCACTTTCGACGTTCTTTAGGTGTTAAATTTTAAATTTTGAGGATTATTGACTTCATTTAGTGTAACTAGCTAATTCAAATGATTTTACGACGAAACCACGTCACTGACCAGAATGATCCGTCATATCGTGACGATCAGGTGTATAACATTTAGGAATTTGGAAGAACAAATTCCGGTCTCTTAATGATGACATATTTAATATAAACAGTTATTACGCCTACATAGCCGAACTATTTAGTCTCCATGGAGTTCTCGGGTTCACCTTAATTATTTTTCGTCAGTACCCAATGGACACCACGAGTTCTCTGATGGTAATTTCAGTTTCAAGAATGGCCCGAGATGATAGTCGAGGTTTATTCCATCGTCACTATCAAATATAATAAATGAGTGGCTGTATCCCATCGCTCTAGACACGGAGTAAAAGCCTTCAGATCTGCTCTGAGAGGCCTAGACCTAGACAATATAGAGACGAAAATATTCCTACTATCATATGTAAACACAGACAAGAGGAGTCCAATGGTTTACGATGCCACGGGTAATCGGAGTTTCACGATGCCTTCACACGTAACACCTTTTTAGATGAAGTGGCCTAGTTCAGTCGAATCAGAAGTCATAAATGAGGTGGTTGGAAGATATATTTGAAAGCCTCCTGATATATTGGGAAGTTTTTAAGATAAGCTAGTCAACAGTTGCAACGGATGTGCAGCAAGGTGTAATTATCCGTGATCTGGTGCTGATGACTGACAGAACACTTTCAGCTAGGAGGGTCCAGTAAAATTGTTTAGATCGGCATCAATATCAAAGACCTACAGAACTACTTATTTTGAGGATTCATTTCTCGCTACAGTTTCATGAACATGCTGCCATAAAGACTATGTATTGGCACTAGGCCCTAACCACACAATCCTCAAAGCTGGATACCAGACAACTGGGAACAAAGATATCCAACGTGGAGAAAAACACAACGATGAAGAAGGCGGGAACAGGGAGTTGAACACTTTTGAATTGACCAGATGGCGTGGCTCGGCCTTGCAGGAGTTCCTATCCTTGAATGTGGTTATATACCTTTTACTCATATTAAATACATTGCTCTATCCCTAGCCAAAGTCCTATACATTAGGCTGTTATATCGTTACAAATCTACAATTATTAGATCAGTACTAGTATCATAGTAGATCATAATTTTAAAACTATTCCAAGACAGGGAACAGTCGAAGTTAGACGGTCGAGTTAGCCCACAATCTGTTAGTAAAATAAAGTTATTATAGTTAGCATATCCGTTTATTGTAGTATTTCCTGAGGTCACTTCATCCACTATATTCTTAAATGTATTGATGAAATATTCGTGTTCAGGTAACTGTTTGCTGAGTCTCACTTGGTGATGTCTGTACAACAGGCTTAACACTGAATGAAGAGGAGGACTGATCTTTTTAATTGATATAAGTCCCATTTCAGTCACATTAACAATCTGAAAGGAAGCACATTGGAGACGAAACCATTCAGGATGAAGGATCACTTCGACATAAAGTGGACAAAAGACCCATATTGTCTAGATGGCTTAATACAACTGTCACCGAACCAATAATTCATGATACGCAGTCTCCGGTGAAGGTTAACAGAAAGCCCATTTTTATAAGTAGACAAGACTGGTACTTTATGATCAGAAAGAAGGCAAGACCACAGTTGAAAACTTACTATAAGCCACAAAAGAATATCAAAATGGTGCCAAAATACACTGAATTTTATGCCACTTGCTGTCACCATCATGCTTCACAATATAGGAATAGACCAGCACATAATTAGGAGGGTGTATAAATCGCTGAAAGCGTCTGAGATAACAGAGCTTCATTTGTTGGAAAATTGTACTGTTCAACAACACGAGGATTCGCTGATCAATGTGGCAGTAAAACGACTGACAAAAGCAGACCGGAATTTATGAAGTGCTGATAGACGCTGTTAGTTAACACACCACATACCGTTAATTTTGCAACCTTAACAGTTTCTTCATGTTAATCTTATGTTCATTCAAAAATAATTTATGCTTACATGAGAGTTTTGAATAAGCCATTCCGAGTTTCATCACAAATGCAACTAATCACAATATTCAACAACGTTTAGATAATATCCACTATATTTAAACACGTTCTGTAATATTTAAAAATATACTACGATGACATTGAATGAAGATAAAAACAGAAACAGCGAAGGGTGTATATATAATTTGATTAAGTGTTTGTGATGAAGAATAATATTAAACGGTGTTATGTATATTAGATATATTGGATTTAAAATGTTATTGTTGTGGTAAGATTTATTGGTAGAATAAGAAATTAGGCAGTAGGGATTTAGGAATGTGCGATGAGAGTCTAAATCAAAAGCTAAGAAAGATCACCAAAAATCAGTTTGTGTGGGTTTCATATAAGTGCTGGGAATAAAGTTATAAACAAACCGGCTTACTTTGTGGTTTTATTTCAGAATGCATCAGATCTGGTACGGAAGTTTCGGATCTGCGACTCGTTGATTCCGTGACATTTGTATCATGTCGTTCAGATAAGATAGATTTTGCCTCCACGTTTTGTAAATCTGACCCTTCATCCTATATGATTTCGTCTTCTTTGTGCTTCTTTACAGGTTTATAGTGGGACTGATATGGGACTAATGCAAATTAAGATGCTCAGTACTCCCCTTCTTCCTATGTTAAGCTTGTTGTATAGATATCATTTCGTCTTTGATGATCCCAACTTTCTTCCACTTGGAATATTTATTAAACTTGGAATATTAATGATATATATATTCCCAGATAACAGTAAGTTACATGTTCTCATGTGTGTGTTTACCGCGCTAGCATGCTTTTTACTGTCGTCGCTAGCATCTTCAGCATTCTTCCTGTGAAAGTTTTTAGGCATACGACAGGTCTACAATCTTTTGAACTGGCCATAGCTTTCTCAAAAATACAGTATACAGAACCGATGATAATCAACGTTATACGATCGTTCTTCCGCCTTGTGTGTTATTTTGATGTATATTTTGTGTAATCATTTTCTGAGTTAATCACAGCGCACTCTTGGATAAGAATAAAGAAACGATTATGTTGCCTACACTGAATGGCTTAAGATTCATCAACATCCACTGCGAAACAACAATAATTAACTCCTGATAAAAGCAGGCGACGAAGAAACTAAAGGTTCAGTAAACTGCTACATGAATCAGAGAAACAACTTTAATGGAAACATGTTTTGAGTGCATTAGGTAAACAAAGAAAAGTTAATTTACGACAAGAATGTGTAATCCAGTTCCTTAATTAAAGTAAAAGACATGTTAATCTCCTACAATCAAAGATTTTGGGTGAGGCTGTTATCTGCCTTTCAGTGTGTTATTGCACTTTCAAAATGTAAAAGCATTTCCGTCAATCACTTGCACTTCCTAAGCACAGAGAATGTTAGTAGTGGCCTCCTGGTCATTCTCACTTAAATAAGAACTCGCCAGCATGACAACAACAATAAACATTTCTTCTAACAGGACAATAATGTGTGTACTTAACTGTTGTTGATGAAGCTGTCATAATTCATGTAACTCAAGTTACTTAAAAAACTAACTAAAAGATTCGAGGTATCATGTCTACCATCTCCGTATACCATGATGAAATGATTGAAGAGGCCACAGGTATTCGGGGTTCGACAACGCTTTACTCAGTAACACCTAGTATGAAACGTACCCACCAAGTGAAATCAAAAGACAGAAGTGAAGAGGTTCGAATATATATTTGACAGGCTATCAATACATCGAGAATCGTCTGATCTAATCTGGCTAGCGATTGCAGTAGATGTTGAGTACGTCGTTTCCACTCGTGATATGGTGCAGATGCATGACCGAGCGCCTTCAGCTAGGTGATTCCATTAAAACCAATGTGGTCAGCATCCAATGTCGAAAACTTACAGTGCTATTTATTATGTGGATTTATTTACCGCCACATGATGATTGTTTAGTAGTGTCGTCCATTTGATTATTAACTAGTCGCAATTAAACCTCATTTAAACATTGATACTATCATTTTATATAAATTTTGGTTCACCTTGAAAATAGGCTACGTTTGGTCGTACTTCGCTTTCAAGGATATATTGCCTTTCGAATACAAAACAAAGTCATAGAAACTTCTGTGCGACATTTCGAATTCTGGATAACATAACGCGTCACGTATTACGAGTCACTCACTACTGAAATCCAGTTCTGGTTACCAAACTGCTTAAATTCCACTACTATATCAATGTTTAGTGTTGTTAACTTCCTTTAATAATTTAAGTGAATTTTATGTACGTTCTGAGTTGTCGGTTTACCTGCTCTCCTGTTCTATTCTCCTACTGATTTTATCATCCTGGTCTTCTTACCTCGAACACAAGACTTATCCTTATGCAAGAACTTATCTTAATAAGGTCTAACTGTTACAATGTATTTGCTTATTTACATGTCATTGATGATTTATTAGTCACTGAAGTAATTTATTTGACACCAACAACCATTTATATTACTCGTTCGAAACATGTAAGGTACGTATTTATTCTGTAGACTGCGGAACTAGCTGATCATAACGAGACTAATAAATGAACCTAAGGGTCATTCAAAAAGTTATTTGATTACTTAGTCGAATGATCATTCGACTGATCGGTGATGACTGTTTGAGTCGACTCAAACAATCATCAGCAATTCCGCAAGAATTAGTTAACGTAAGTTGCTTTCAGCCAATATTCCAAACTCTGGGTTGTAAAAAACCCGATTCTTTCTAGCTTTCGTAGTTTTCACCAAACTGTAAATTTAGTTCGTTTCACTTTGCCGTTTTTACTATGTGGTCCCATATTTTTGCACGTCTGACCCCTATTGAACGCGTTTGACCTTATGTTCTGGTTTGGTTCTATGCTAAAGTTCGTGTTCGATGAGTCAATCTTCATTTTATCCTTTAAGTGGTTTTGATTTCCATAGACTATTACCATTTCATTCATGCTACATATTACCTAGGGAGGCGGCGCGTGTTGTTCACATTATGTCATATCAATTAATTAAAGTATCGTGATGCATTTACGGTGGAATGGATATGAAAATTGTCATTTAACATACTAAGAATCACTTATGAGTATTAGTCATCAGCTGGTGAATAATTTAGCTCACAGTCTATCAATAATTTTGTTATCAATGAATAGGGATCTTTTTCTGCAGATAACTCAACATATGATAACTCCTGTGATATTTCCCAAAAACTGATTGTCTATTTAGGTGGATTCATAGACAGAGCTTATGCGACCATTTATATCAGAAGTTACATGTCACTTGCTCCTCAATGGTAAAGGTGAAGTTCATTCAGTGCTTTCTATCATGATCTTCGAATTTCCCTATTTACACTAAAACGCTTACGTATCTGCAGACATCCTTTGGGAATATATTGCTTACTGTTTACCGTGTTTTTGACCGTAAAGAAAAACCACTCGCGTTTTTGTCCAAATACTTACTCCTCAATTAGAACGTTAAGGGAAATGACCATACTAGCTTATTAAGAACCGTTATGTACATATTATTGTTGTGTATTTTAATTGAAAATGTTTTATCCAACTCATTTTCATTATTTCAGCACCCAAGGATACATATAGTTTGCAATAACATGATACCAATGAAACGATATGGTTATGTAATGATTTTTCAACTTCGCAGGACTATGGAAATTTAACTTCTAATGCCTTGCTAAGTACTTAAAAGAGAGGAAAAATAGTAGTTGTACTATTTAAAAGTTATTTTTGAACAATCGTACGATATAGATGAGTTTATTTATAATTTTGCTGACAGTGTTGTTACTAATACTGATTTTTCTGGATCTTGATTTGTATGTACAGTTAATTTGAAAACAATGTTCATAATAACTTTTACTACTGTGTTTTTGAGGCTTTATAGTTTCTTACTGATTTAAGGCCATGGAATTTCACTTGAGTTTTACGTTCTTGTGTTTATACTATATACTTTGGCTGATTGTGTGGTTTGTGATTAGAACTAATTTCGGTGGGCCAATGAGAATAAATGATGAGATAATCTAAAGTACTAGTTTAATGGCATAAATGTTTTGTAGAGATTGTACTTAAACATATATCCTATTTTTATCACATATTGATTCGGAACGTGTGATTAAATTGTAGAACAGTATGCTTAGGTATAATACCATTGAAAAGTTGCTTTGGTTTATGGTCTCTTAGTAAGATTGTGGGTATAAAGATACTGAAGTGATGTTACGTGAGCCAAAAGGTATTTATATGAAAATATTTGTTCCGACATTTAAAACAAAACTGTTTAGATATTTTAGTAGTGAGTTGTTTTAAGCTACAAATCTCTAAATGATCTACTTTACCCTCATGAAATCAATCCGAAACTCTGGTTAAGTTTCCTCTTTTGATAAGTTTTAGTCCATGTATTGATACGTTGAATCAGTGTAATAGACACAAAAATACTTTTGTGTCAGCTTATTATCCACTCACGTTTTTGTTCTTAAAGAGGAGTGGAGCTAAAGAGGGATAGCTGTTGGTTGATTACTTTTTGCAAAAGCCTTCACGGTAGGGCTTTGGCACATATAAAACTAACATAAAATGTAAGAGTTATGGAGGGCTGAAAAATGACGTCAAAATTTTGGATGATACATAAGACCATGAAGAGTATAATTAACGATAAATAGCAAATTTATCTGCACAGATAGAGTTTGTTTTCATTTAGGCAAGTAACTGCCAATGTACGTTTATTATAAAATACAAAACTTTAAATACATGTTTACCTATGTAAATTCAACTAATAACACTAGTTTATTTCATTATCTTGAAATGTATTAGATCCTAATTTCCCACATATATTATAAACACATATTTATCAGTTTGGAGTTAGTTTCTCAACCGTTTTAAAGTGATTGTAAATGTTTTTAAACTGAAAATTTATTCTATGGTAGAATTAATGTTACAATGAACAAAACAGAATGGAGACCTGAAAACACGGTAGTTTGTATTGACATTGAAAACCGTTCACGATATCCAGCAAACGAACAGCTGGGGCACAATGTTATAGTTAAAGGTATTAATAATGCTCTGCGCTTAAATCGAATTTCAATAAAAATTTAGAGTTAAAAAGCAATACATTGAAATCCATTATTGCAACCTCACATTCATTCTCCGATGTTGGTTCAAGTCCAATTCGCAATGAATCGAAAAATTATATGTCTTCATTCAAATTAACAACTGCACAATATTTTTCTACAACTATCAGAAAACATCATAAATGTGTACAAATGGCTATTGAAAGTAAAGATATGACAAAAGCTATGCATCATATTGATCAATGCATCAAATTAGCGCCACACAATGCTAAGTTTCTTATAGAACGCTCTGGAATTTATATCAAGGTAAATTAAATTTTGTCTGGATTTTAACCTGTAAGCTACATCTCAACTACATCCTAAATAGATTGTTGTATAGTATCTTGATTGGAACTATTTTTTACTTTTTTAACTTTTTGAATGCTTGATAGCAGTTAGCAACAGGATCTAGATGACACACTGAATACTGTCGGCTGTACAGATACGTTTTACTGATCAGTTACCACAGTACTGAAACGCTTATCTTTAATCGCACTACCGGTCATTGCCTCAACATATAATTTAGATTGAAATCCTGGAAACGTTTAAGTTAATGTTTTAAGATCTGGTGTATTCCGAGAGTGGACAACTCGATCTGAAAATTCCAGCGCAAAAAAATTTAAGTTTATGAGAGATTTTGTTTGCTTTGCGAGTCTTCTAGTGAATAGTAAAATTTTTAAGGTACTCCAAGCTATCCTGTTTCTGCCTCAAATCCTAGTTTTCAAAATATATGTATTATCCTAAATAATTTAGACAAGACCAACTTTTACTTGATAACATTTTAATTTATGTGAACGCTCACAGTCAGAGGAGTTTGAAATCCTTTAGGATACCCAATTTTCTACTATGAATATAACCAACGAACAATGAAATTCATCTTGCTTGATAGGTTTGTTGGCTTTCCAAATAATTGTATAACAAGACTAATTACTTACTTATCTTTAATATGAATTCAAATTAAAGAAGCGGTTGAAATCTATAAAAATGACACTAAATTTTGGTGAATTTAAAAAACATATTGTATTTATTCACTATGGTCGAATAAAAATCCAGTTTTATAACGTTTTGTAAGAGCTCACTCAACGATCATTTCAAGATCTGTTGTTTCATTCGTTTGTTAAGACAGTTTTCAAGAAGTTGTGAATAAAAGACTGAGGCGAATCCTTTCAAATCTACTCGACAATTGACGTCAAAATAATTGAATGTGGTTCTTAAATTCAGTTTAATTTATGCTCCATGAGGCATAGTGAAGTCTATAGAGGTTGACGTACTCTTGCCTTCACAGGGAGTTTATGCCATTACTTTTTCTTCTGCAGTGATCTCCCCAATCAAATGATCCTAAAATGTAAAAGTATCCACTTTGCTTAAATGACATTCTTTCACGTAATCTGTAATAGTAATCACCTTTTGAACCATTATTTCATCTGCAAAACGAAACACCGTTATATACAATACATTTTAAATGCTTCTATTATGAGACATTCGTCGTACAGCCTCAAGTACCTTATGTGCGTCTTACTACCCCTTAAAACTTGGGCATTAAACCTTTATCTTCGTTGATAATTGTTCTGATATAAAAACATGTAAGCTATAGTTATACTTCATTAGTCCTTTCAATATCCGCATAACAAATTGTAGAATAAACTTGGTAGAATACTATTGAACATAAAAAATAATAAAACAGGAGTTGTTTATTTGACAGTTCTTCCTCCGAATTTGATTTACATATTCTGAAATTTATATTGAGATTAACGCCTAAACGATAATTTGAACTGTCAGTTTCCGTCAGTTTCCACATAGTATATTTCGATTTACAAGCAGCTGGTAATTATGGTCTTACGTAAAGACGTTGTCTACATTTTAAAATAAAAGATCATGTAGAATCCAGAGGTTGTTCACAATAAATCAATTGGATAATCTATGTTACTGAAACAAACTATTATAGCATTGTTATTATTCTTTTTAAGTGCAATAACTTTGTACCGCACAGAATTTAAGTCACAATTTTGGGTTTTTGATTCTGATGCCCATAAACAGGAAAATTAATTGTATTTCGCAAGAAGTGTTGTCACACAACGAGCTTTGTGTTTTCCTGTGCTGTTAATTGGATTTGTTTGGCTCTCAACCAGTTAGAAGTCATCTGTGTAGGGTTCCTATGACCCCGTTAAAGCAACACTGCCTATAAGATTGAAAATATATCAAGCTATCAGCTATCTTGATGCATTTAATGCCATATGTATTATTAAAATTGTCTAAAAACCAGCGTTTTCTGCCATTTTTGTTTTGTTTTCACTTTCTCAATTATTCATTTTACATAAGCTATTAGCTTATCAGCATGCAATAAGCGACCTACACTTGGCCATATCTTTAGGGTCAAATACACTAAACACTTTGTCAGTCAATCAAGATTTAACAAACGCTGCTTTGGAGTCACCATCTATCATGTCTGTAAGTTTGGATCGTATAGAATATGAAAATGCTTTATTGATGACTGGCCAGCTTCACATAGTTCATGGAAAGAATTTAAAAGATGAAGGAAAATTGGAAGAAGCCCTGAAACAATATGAGTTAGGCAGAAGCTTCATTGATCAATATGCTCAGATGAAAGACTTAATTACTAGCTCATCTATCACACCAGGAACATTGGTAACATTGATGGGTGTTTTACAAGTTTATGAATCAATGAAACGTAATGATGACTATGTGGATTTGATAACAAAATGTATAAATAATTTGGAAAGTGAAAATATGGAAATTCCAGAGGAAATACTAATGGGAGATCCTATCTTGACCTCGAAATTATATTTACCTCGTAGGTGTGTGTGTTCTAACCTTAAAATAGTATTTAACATGTACCAGTTTCTTTATCTATGCTTACTGTATAGGATTTTAAACGTAACTTTATGCTGTTATATCCAGTACATTTCATCGTTCGCCTTAGTAACTTCAGTTTTAGTCTTTGTTACACACACTTGAGTAAGGATAATTATTTATTAATGGTATGAATTTTTAATAAAGTCTGATGTAAAATACGAACATTTTATACACACTTAGCGAAAATTTATTACAGTCCACTTCAACATGTAATATTGAGTGAGACAGAAGTGATTTGCAAACAAGGTAATAAACTAAGCAATGGTATCAATTCATGTAGTTCTTATTAAAAGCTATTTAGAGTAATATCAGGTTCGTGTCTATGATCTCTAGAATATTTGGAAAATTCTAGAAGTTGTGTGTTCATTTTCCAGATATCATCAATAAGAGAATTTTAGTGTTCTTCCTTCCCATCTCTCTAACTGTCATGTGCTGCACTGATATTAGGTGTAGCAATGTACACCATTGAGAATTGTCTCAAAATCATCATTGTTTCGTATTGGCTAATTGATGTATACTGGTATGAAATAAATCACGTTGGTGCATATTTATTTCATTACTTGTCTTCTTGATTCGGATCACTTCACCACTCTATACTTATTTCAAACCCACCCCTTTTATTCTTACTTATTTGAATAATTGTCTCCATTTATACTACAGCCTGGAACAAAACATTTATCTATAGATAC